GGAGGAGGAGGAGGAGGAGGAGGAGGAGGAGGAGGAGGAGGAGGAGGAGGACTGTCTGCGGGCAGCCAGTGCGCACACCGTGCCTCCGTGGCGTCTCTCCCGAGGCGTTTCGGGCGATGCTCGGCCCACGAGCGGTGCTCGGTATCGTTTAACCGATCCCCATCCCCATCTCCATCCCCTTCGAGACCGCCCCCAAATTACCACCCCAGTCGGGGATACACCCCTCGAAACCCGAAGAGGACGACCTATATCACCATCTAGGGGGGTACATCGGCCAGCGGGGCCCAGGCCACGCCGCTGGGGATGGGGATCGGTTAAACGATACTTAGGTGCGGCAGCACTGCTTTTCTGCCTTCAGGGTTGGGAAACGATGCACCGCAGCGAGTTGGAGCGGAGCCTGAAGAGAGTCCATGTCATGATACACGGGCGTCCTTCGCGTAGATTGCATTGCAGCGCCTGAGAGGTTGGAGTCAGCAGCGGCCCTGGAGATTCCAGGGTGTTGATCTGGCCCAATCTGGCAGAGTCCAGCCAGAGGGGTTCAGCATGTTTTTCTCCCAGGGGATGCATCCAGTTTAATAAAGTTCGATTGCTTCGCAATTTGGCTATCTCTGGTTTAATCAGACGCGTGCCCGCAAGTGCGTTCGGCAAGGGGCTGATCAACATATGTTCGTGGTCGAATGTTAGCGAGGGGCTTATCAACGGTTTTGGACCATCTGTTCGCGAACGCTCCCGCGGACCACGGTCCAGGGACGACGTACAGTCGGCCTTGATTGGACAGGACACGCGAGAGGACACTAGACCCTTCCGAGGGCCACATCGCCGTAGGAGTGTAAGAAGGCACGTGTCGCGAGGCACAGGACACAAGTGTACCCTTGAGCTGGCAGGGTCGACCTACTAATCCGGGCCGACCGTAAGGGCCCAAGGATCCAACGAACATGTTTGGGCGCAAAGGTGTATGCTGGACGCGTCTGTAAGCTTGACTCGGCGCGGAGACCTCCCTGGAGTGGCAACCAGACCCAGACTATTGGCGTCGCTAGAGTTAAGTCGGGCCTGTCCCTATACCGGAGGAATAATAATCAAAAAATAGTCAGGGGACGATCTTTCGATTATTTTTGCCCTTTGGGGGGGGTATTGTTTGGGTACTTTTTATTTTTCGCCCAAAATCCCCCTGTAGGGGGACACGCCCGACTTAACGCTAGAGCACTCCCGACGGCCAGCTTCTTAGAGATTAGGCCCTTGCCGGCACCTTCCGTGCCCTGGGGCCATCCAGAAATTGCACGCCATGAGAAGATGGTCCCCACGTTGGGCTCGAGAGCTCCGCGGGCATGCGTCTGGCAAACACCGCGACGCCGGAATTCTGGTCGAGAAGGCTGGGCCACCTTCGCATCATGTTTCCGCTGCTGCTGAGATCGATGCTGGCATTCTTGCTCTGTCCTGCCGTTACTGCTACGGCCGCCAGCCTCATCGGTGTGATGGACACTCCCAGGTAGGCATACGTTTCGGCAGCACAGTAGTTTAGGGTGACGCTTGGCACTGTTCAGTTTCGCAGTGCCACGTTCTGACCGTGGCGCTGGCTTTCCCTCGGCGCGGGGACCTTTGGGACCTTGGCGCTTCAGGGCCCTTTTAGGGCCACGTTCCTGTACCCCCGCAGCGTTTCGGGGACCCACTGCCTTAACGTTTTCAGTGCAGGGGCCCTGGAAGTCCCGACCCCTTCCCCAGGGCTAGCCTTCAATCCTGTGTTGTTCTCTTGACGGTCCCGGGGCCTCGGTGAGGGCCCCGGAGGCCCGCACATGGAGAAGCGCCGGTGTAGTCTAGGTCGCCCCAGGGGGCGCGAAGATATCGCGCTTCGCACGTCGCGACCTCGGCCCGAGGTCTGCCCTTCTCATGGAGGCTTCGCGAGGGCGTGGAGACAGCCCGCGGGCCGCACATCGCGGGGCGCCATGCGCCAAGCTGGGTGGCCCATTTTTCTAATATATATATATATATATACACACATATATAATACTATATATCTATATATAACGGAACACGCCGAAGGGTCCGCGAAGCCCGCACAGGGCTGCCTTTTCATGCCGAGCCGTCCTTTGGCGGTCCCCGGGGCTCGGTGAGGCCCCAACCCGACGCCGAAATTTGTGGAAAGCCCCCGCCCCGACGTACCCCACCCCGCCCAAGCGTTGTGGAGGACGATCAGTGGAGAGGAAGCATGTTGCCAAACAATTTCCAGATGTCTAAAACATGTGTTAAACATGTTTTAAACATGTGAAACACATGTGTAAAACATGTTTAGAACATGTTCCCGACATTTTGAACACATTTTAAATTCAATGACAGGACTGTTAGGGTGTCCATTGTCGTGGCATCCACAACCCAAGCGTTACCGTTACCTGGGGCCCAGACCCCTTTCCCCGCCCGCGGGTAAGGACCGCTAGCCAGACCTGATCAACAAAAACATGATCTTTTCCCATCCCCGTTGTTGACGTAGCTCGCCCTCCGCTGCGGG